TCTGCCAGTTCAGTTGCAGGCTGCCCTTCACCACCCTGGCAGAAGCAGCCACTCTCCTGGACTCTCCCAAATAATCTCTTACTGAGACATCTGTCACCTAAGGGATGGAGCAGAAAAAAACCTTGCTGAGATATTCCCTTGGGGGGCTTGAGCAAGGCTGAGCAGAAAAAAGTAATTTTCACCCTGTGCCAGAGGAGATTGCTGCATTTCTGCCAGGGTTTACCTTTTAGCAGAGTGAAGCGGAAGAAGCAACATTTTGGACCAGAGAGCAGAAGAAGCGAGCTGTGCTGGGAAGCCCCCTTAGGGGAGAGGGGGCAAAGCTCAGCTCTAACAACTCTCTCTAGGAGAGGAGCAGGACTGCTATAACCTGCAGGGAGACCATCCCCCACTGCACCCTAGCTTCAGACATCACTCACTTCGTGCCCTCCAGTGCTAAGCTGTTTGTCCTATTGTGTCCCCAGCCTCTGGAGCTGTCCTATTGAAGCTTTAGGTATGTATAGCCTGGCTTCCAAGCGAGTCATACCTTTCCCTCCAGAGCTGTAACACCAGTGTGAACTCGCTTACAATAGTAGTCTGAAAATAGCACTTGTTTGATTATATCAGACCCTGTTTTTAGTGTTCATTATTTTATTTATTAGGGTTTAAGTCTTTTTAAAAGAGATTTAATTATTTTTATGTGTATTGGGATTTTGCCTGCATGTATGTCTGTGTTAGGGTGTCAGATCCTTTGGAATTAGAGTTACAGTTGTTAGCCATTATGTGGGTGCTGGGATTTGAACCCCAGTCCTCTGGAAGAGCAGCCAGTGCTCTTAACTTCTGAGTCATCTTTCCAGCCCAAAATAGAGTTTATAAGAAAAGACTTGGGAGTTGAAAGGGACTACGCACGCACGCACGAGCAGCTTATCTTGAAACAGTGATCTTGAAACAGTGAACTAAATAAACTCTTAACATAAGAATGGAAGAGAAGAGATGGGTGTGCACTAAAGAGAGAATTAAAGCATTGTTAGGCATTTCTACCTGCCAGAGGTAAACTGTGGCAAACAATCAGTAGGGAAGTTGAAAGGTAAGAGGGAAAAATAGAGAAAATGGGAGGATTTGATGGGGAAGGGCAGGTTCCATTTTGGTCAAGGTTTAAGGTGGTAATAATAGAATTTGCAAGTGGATAGGAATGGACTTTAGGAGCCCACTCCACATAGAGGGATACTCCCTCAGCCTAGACACGGGGTGGGTCTAGGCTCTAGCCGAAGGATATGGCAGACTCTTAAGATCCCCCATGGAAGGCTTCACCCTCCCTGGGGAGCAGAAAGGGGATGGGATAGGTAGGGTGTTAGTGGGGTCAGGGGAGGAGGGAAGGGAGAGGGAACTGGGATTGACATGTAAAACAATCTTGTTTCTAATTTAAATTAAAAAATAGGGAAAAAAAAGAATTTGCAAGTGGAATTACCACCTTCATGGTTGTATGGGTGCCTCTAGAGTTTGAGAGATGTTTGGACTCAAGCTGTTATCTGGAGGTTTATATGAGATCATCCTGGGGTATTAAAAGGATTATAGAGATCTGCAAGGAACGACCACCATTTGAGAGGATCTGAAACTGTGTAAATGAGGAAGAGTCAGAAAAGAGTGCTGGAAGTCAAGGAAACAGCCCAGGAACCATGGAAGGGTTACCACTGTTGAGAAGAAGGTAGTCTCTTTGACACTAGACACTCTGGGGGGTGCTGGAGGCAGCAGTCACATTATGTGCCAGTGGCCATAGTCAGACTTCAGAAGATTATATAATTGCTGGTTACATAAATAAATGTTAGTTGTTGATCCTTTTTGCAAATATCTAGTATATTGTAGGAGGCTCAGGTTTTGATAGCTATTCTCACACTTGCGTGGATGGTTTCTTTAGCAAGGATTGGAGAAAGCAGTATTGACAATCAGCTTGATTATATGTGTGAACTCTGCATTTACCAGAAGCATGAACACAATCTCAGACCTACCCAGTTATGTGGAAACACAGCTTCATTTACCGAGTTAAGACTTCTGAGTCGATTCCCACAGTAGTTATTCATACATATATCCTTCCTTCTTATGACTCCCAAGGCTTAGCAATTGGTGTGTTGTTAAACTTTCTAGGCTTGTTACTTTGGAACAGGTAGTAGAAGCCTGCTTCTCTCTGTCACAAGATTTAAAAATAGTTATTGCTGCTCTGGTGGCCTTTGGTCTAGATGAGTGGTTTTGTTTCAAATTCTAGTATTATAAATGTTCTTTATATAATAGAGCTGAAGGTCTTTCCCCCCTAAGAGTTGGTAAAAATAGGTGGAATTTAGAAATAATAATACAAGTTTTTAGAGACCCAGAACTGTTTGAGGCTACATGTGAATATAGTTGCCTTCTGCATAGGTCTGCCATCTATAATTATGTTGCAATCTGTAATTTTTCCAGTAGAAGTTTTGGTGTTTATAGCTGCTTTAGGTAAGCTATAGATTTCATTCAACTATTTGCTTATATTTTTCTTGGATTGTGCCAAGAGAATAGAATCTCAGAGCCAGCCAAGATACCAGCCATTGCCAGAGTCACAGCTCATGTCACCTGTTAACATATGGACAATTGGTTTAAAGAAAACAAACTTTTGTAGTGGATGAGGAGTGGGAGGGAATTTTAATACATTCACCAAATGAAAAGACAATAATAACATACTGTAGACACGACGTCATAACAAAATGTGAGGTAGACTGACTAGTGAGTGAAATTCACCAAATTTTGGTTAAGAAAATTTTACAGTAACAAAGTAACACGGGTGCCCCCTTTTCTAGAAATCACAAAAAGCAGTTGCATAAATTACAGCCAATCTTGACTATAGTTTTTCTAAGTTTTTAGTTTACATTCAGTATTAACCTGTGTGAACTGTCATACATGCCAAAGTTCAGCAGGTCTGCAGGTGAGTTACCAGGTGACTTAATCGATTTGCTGTCCTCAGGGATGGAAGAAGGGAAAATCAAACACACCAAGACATGAGTTAACAAATCATGGTGGCCTGGGCTTGTGCAATTTCATCCTTAAAGAGGACCTAGCATTCACTGAAGGATTATACTGATTAAGGTAATTTTAAAACCTCCAAACCTTAAGTTAGGGTTTGCAGAAAAAGAGGCAGGTAAATTCAAACTTCTCAATTATTGGAGTGATGGTCTTTTGGCTTTATTCTGGCATTTCTCTTGAACAGCGTTGAATAGTATTTACAGTTCATGAGCACTTGAATTTCCAGAGTATAGCCATAACTAATACGGAGTACCTGCATTAAAGTAACTTAGTTCAAAAAGAAAAAGCCAGTAAGATCTCCTAAGAGGCCTCTGCCCCCGGCACAATAGTTGTGGAATTATTTCAAGTATTTTATTTCCCCTACATAGTGTCATTGGAATATTGCACAAACAGTAGCTTTCTTGATATTACCTGCATTGGACCCTTTCAGCAGAACAGGAACAAGTTAGATACATTCATATCTAAGTCAGACTGCCCTGGGACATACCTCTTTGCTAAAATTCTGCTCTACTAAAGTTAAGGAGTAAGCATATAATAAGGCAGGTCCTCTTTGAAGGACAATTAAAAATGGGGTTAAAAGGAATTATCAATTTAAAATACATTTAAAACATAAGTAGCTATATTAAAGCCAAGAGATCTGCAAACCGTTCCCATCTAATACATTCCATCTTCTCACTAACTGTAAACTCCTTGTTATCCCTGGATAACCAAGCCCATCAGCTAACACTTGCAGTAAATGCAGGCTCAGTAGGGCTCTCAGTAGTCTCAGGTCCTAGGACAGATTCAAGTAAAATGACCATTTTTAACTGGAGATAAGTGATACACATGGGCTGAGGAAAAATCTGAAGAGATACCATGAAGTAGAGCAATTTAAGTGTAAACTTCCCATAGATTACTGTAGGATATTTTCTCAATGTTTCTGATTAAAATATTTGATAAGAAATACATAGAAACTTAAGCCTTCTACTGTTATTAGTCACACACTACCCACTAATTTTAATGAGTCCAAAACACTCTTCATGGAGTCTTCTTTACTCCTCAAGAAAACTGTCACTGATAGAACCATAGACACGATTTCCTTAATTTTGTTTCTCATTTCACCCATTTTTGTGTATCGGTGTAAGACAGCTGCTACAGTCTTTTCCATGATGCTTAGCCTGAGCCAAATAAATCAACTAGTTCGACTCCATAATAGAATCCCAGCCTGATTTGTGGGTTTCCAGGTGCCAACTGCTTACTTTCAACTAAAACACGGTGGTATAGCATAACTGCAGAATGCTAATTTGTCCACATAGTTTCATGCACAAATCAGACATGGTGTGCTTACAGACTGGAAATGGAAACACAATAGAATTTAGCTCAGAGAACCTTCATAAATGCACACAGTGCTTGCTCTGCATTTACTGGTTTTGTTTTTTTTTCTTTTTTTTTTTTTCTTTTTTTTTTTTTTTTTTGTTCTGTTTAAATAGTAAACTTTTGACTCCTGTGGAAATTTTGCCAAAGGTTTCGATACATATAAGATTATAAATCTTAAACTAACACTGCACAGAGAAAGACAAAGCTACTTCTTTTTAAATACAAATATCTTCTACATTCTATCATTTCAGACCCCTGAGTAATACTGTACCAAAGTACAGATCTGAAGAGACACTGAGGGTTCAGGCCTCAAGTGTTAATCTTCAGTAATTCCACACCAGTGGTGTGAGTCCCATGTAACACATTCAAGCTGGCAAATGCTGACGTCAGTCCCCTGCCCCCCAACATAGTGTAGTAGAAAAAAACAATGCAAACTCCATATTTGTTCTCCAGAATATACCCTCAGGTTCCCACAGGCAGAGCACATCCTATGTAATTGCATAACTGCCCACTGTGGCACTGACCTGAACCTGGGTCCTTTCAGCAGAACTGAAGGACAGTGCCCCCAAAGAAGACCTTGGTCACATTTGGGGAGCTCTTTGGAGAAGAGATAAATACGTTGCACTTTGCTCCACAGTGATTGTACTTTAAAGGAAAAAAAAATCCCCAATAATTGTTGCCCCACTCCATCTAGGGATGTTTGTTGTTTTTGGACTCTCCTAAAACTCATATATGGCGTCCAGTAAGAAAGTAGAGAGGCTTGTCATCACTGCTGTTAGCAGTTTGAAACTCATCCCGGAGGCGGAACTGCCATTCATCCTCCAACTCTAATCGAACAATGGTTTGCCGTAAGGCGTTTCTGTCTTGGCAGATGACGCACAGGGTAGCACCTATAGGAAGAGCGGACATTGAATCAGTCAGAATGTTATCACCTTTGAAAACGAGCATACAGGTAGATATTTTATTCCAAGAGGTTTTGCAAGTTTCAAGGAGCTTAA